AAAAAAAAAAAAAAAAAAAGAAAACACCAATCACAACAGAAGGGGCTTGAAATTATTTAAAAATCAGCGAAACGATACTCCTTATTTGCTATTGATCAGTTTTTCTTGGCTATAAAGAATAAAAATAAGTGTCATACTTATTAAGATACTTTTAATAGTTCAGTATCTTCAATCCAAAGCCACAGGAGAGTATTAAATCTTACAAACACACACACTGAACCTAATAAACTACGAGGCCTCTAAGCTGGACGCTTGGGATAAAAGTACAAAGAGTGGTATCTCTTGTGATCTTGGGGAACAGTCTTCTCTCAGGGGATAAGAGATGTTGCTGCTGGGGGCACACATAGGCTATAAAAGAATGAGCTGAAAGCAGAATTTGGTACTGTTACTATGTAAATGTGGTATGTTCGAAAAGTCAACAGTCAATGACTTCCCGTGACTCTATTTCTTCATCTGTATAATGGGGTACTGAGAATGATCCCTTCTAGTCTTCAAAGTGACACCATGAAAACCTGGATGAAAGCAAAAGCAGCAGCAGAAAAAAAAAATCCTGTTTTGTAATCTTTCTTTTTCTCAAATTACCTCCAAACTGGGAAATAAATGGTGATACAAAGCAACATCAAATCCTTATGAGTTTAAAAATATGAATTCACAAATTTCTTTTCCATGAATTTGGGTAAGAGTCACTGTTGAAAATTCATCTGTTTTTGTTTTAAGAAAAAAAAAGTGAGTGCTCATTATAATTTGCATTTTATTATAGTCTAATGTGGTTAAAAAATTTTACCAATAAAAAATAACTGGAAGAATAATGTGTATTTGCCCAGTTGAAAGAGTAGAAACAACAACACTTTAAAGCTTAAGGTATAGTGTGGTGAATCAGGGTGATGGTGGAGTAAATCTTTGCAGACCAAGTTTCATGGATGACCACTGTTAACATAAAACCATTTTTCCTGTTTGGCTCTGATCTCGTTTAAGAAAACCAATGTTTTCCTGGTTTGGCTGCACAATCTCAATCCTAGTAAAACTTGGCTTTAACCTAAACAATCTTTGTAGTTTAGTAGAAAAATTCTGAAATGAATACCCCTCATATAGAAAGCAAAAAAATCACAATGTTTAATTATGTTTCCTCTCCAATAGAAGCAACTTGCAACTCGAAAAACATAGCGCCTTATGCTGCTTACATGCACCCTTGGAGGTGAATCTTTACATTAATATGTGGTCTGAATGTCTAAGTAAGGCCACCGAGCTGGAACTTTGTTTTGCTCAGGTACAACAGATATCTATATACTACAAAGTATACGGAGCTTCATCAGAAGTTGGAAGTATATGTCAGGTTTTTTTTAGATAAGAACCCAGGGACTGAAACCATTGTAAATTTAAGATTTTAGAAGTAGCTAAGTGAAATAGCTAATACAGAATCCAGAGCAATTAAATCTATTAGTCAATTCACTAAAATGCAAAACAATATAAATATATACATAAATGATACCCTAATAGAAAATGATTATTACTTTGACTACTTAAAACTGATTAGAAAAAGATACCACCCACCTAAAAATGAAACCAAGATGTATATAAAAGTGAAAATATCCAGTTTACAATCTAAATAACTCTAATTCCTTTAGTGGGAATAAGCAGTGAGGTAGAAGAAAAGTCAACTATGAAGAAGTAAAATTTGAATGAAGGTCTGGATTCACATCATGCAAGTTTATAAAAGTCAGATTCCTAGTTGTGACTCTCAATAGTTAGTTTAACCTTCTTTACAGTTCAGATACTTAATGGTGCATCTTTATAAATTTATTTTTTCTAAATCGGATTTAAAAGTATTAGAAGGCAAATGAATTATTTTCATCTTCTGAGTAGACCGATCAGTCAAAAGCTGAATGGAAATGTCTCTAAACTATTTAACTCCACCTTGGTCTAAAAGTATACTAAAAATTTTCCATCATACAGATACAGTTCCAGTTCTGGACAATAATTAAATATGTTTATAATTTTAAAGCTTTACTTCAGCTGTGTTCTTTAATTATGATATGGTTCTTTAATTACGGTATATTGTATAAATATTCAGAATGCCTCCTCTGAAAACAAATGTCACAAAAACCACAAAACTATCTAGGCTGCTTAATTAGAAATGAAGTACGACTTCTAAAATCTTCTTTGGAAATATTTGAGAGAACCGTTTTAGAATTTAGCTAAAGAATCTAGGTCATCTAGGCAAACTCTTAGGCAATTAACCATGAAACATAATTTACTAACTACCTACTAACACTCAATATGTTTACAGAAGAATAAAATAGTATGTTCAGATCTACGTATATTGGCATATACACATTGTTTTAATGGGAAAAACATTTTTAAAGCTTCTTAGTAAATATTCTAAGAATACAGTCAATAGATGATTTCTGATTCTAGTTTTGCTAGGTTTACTGTCCTCTTCATTTTACTTTCTGTTAAACTGGTCGCTCTGAACCCCTTGGAACCTTCCAGAAAATGAGATGATATAGCAGAAATTCAAATCAATAAATTGTTACTTTATAAATAGTTCATTCATTCACAAATATATACTCTGTACCTCAGTGCTGTTTCAGATGCTGAGGATGGGAAAGTAAAATGAACTGACATGGTCTCTATTCTCATAGGGCTAATGAAGGCTGAAAGGTCAGAGAATAACAATACATAAACAAAATAATTTCAGCTCTAGATGAATGCTGTGAAAAATTAAAAGAAAATGATAGGCTAGAGGGGGCCTGGGTGACTACTTTAAGTAGGAGACCAGGGAAGCTTCTCTGAGATGGTGACATTTGAGCCAGATCTAAATAACAAGGACATTGGAAATAACTTGACTTCAAGGACTGAAAAGAATGAAGGCCAGTGTGGCTGGTGCTTAGATAACGGGGAGGAGGAGGCAGTCCACGGTAAGGTCAGAGAGATGCAAGGACAAGACTATGTAAGGCTTACAGGTTACCACAAGGAGCTTGAATTTTATATCAAGTGCAATGGGAAGCCATTAGTATGTTTTAGGCTGGACTGAATATGATCTGATTCACATTTTACAAGGATCAGCCTGGCAGTGAGGTGGATGGATTACAGGGTGACAAAGTGGAAGCAGGAGTGTCAGTTAAGAGGCTACTGCCAAAGACTAGGTTAGGTGAGAGAAGTGCTCACTATCTTTGGAGATAAAGGAGAATCAGGCTGATAGATCAGATTTGGGAGATAAAGAGGACAAGGAATTAGGGATGTCTCCTAGATTTTTAGCTTGAGCAACTGGATGAATAATGGTGCTATTTATTGAGACAGGCAAGGCCTTGGAAGGAATGGGTAGGGAAATCAAGAGCTGTTTTAAATACGTTAAGTATTACTAACAAAAAGTTTCATAGTATTCAAAATTAAAGTGAACTACAAAAAGGGTGCTCCTAAATCATGTTAATTGTTTTTTAGCACTGCTTTGATTTCTATCACTAGAGAAATGGTTCTACAATAAATTTAAAATTATTTACAGGATGAAAATAGCAAATTTCTCATAATATCCTCAGCAGACCTTACTCCTAAAAAAATGTTTCCTAAACTGGCATGGCCTTCCTGCAGCTAACAGAGCACTGCCAGTACATACATATATGTGTGGTAAAGACCACAGGCACACAGGAAAATGTAGCTCTTTTAACAGAACTTAATTTCACGTTGTATGATTGATTTACTTCATGAAAAAATAAGCTTCTAAAAACTGTAATCACAGGCTAAATATCCTTGTTCCAAGCAGGCTAAATATCCTTGTTCCAAGTATGACAGTTAAAGAGAAGTATGAGAAATATTTAAATTGCATAGAATCTTCCTGTGAGAGCAAAGTCTATTTTTCTCCTGAGCTTCTCTAGATTTCCTGTAAGGTGGATCTCATGTCTCTCCAAAAGCTTTCTTCCCACAATGGGATCACATGACTAACAGCAACTACTACTAACCTACTTTTCCAGTTATAATTTTATTTTTAACTGCTAAGAAACAATCACAAGCCAACTATGTGCATATAAGAGCACATGAGGTAACACATCCAAGGGCACAGGGTAAGTGATGTTATCTAATATCTAAGGGCACTGAGAAGAGCCTTAGTGCCACTCAGTGCCACTCAGCCTCACATCGCCTAAGACTTTCTACCTCTTCAAAGCTACTGTGCTAGAAACAGCAAAAATCATAACTGATTCTTTCTTCTTTTCAATATTATTTAAGATTTCTCAAGCCCTGGAAATACTTCTGTCGCCTCAGAAAATAATTCGTTGCTATTTGGCTTTTGAAGCAATAATAACTTTAAAAACATGGCTTAAGGATTTTTGGATTACATTATTTTGGGGAAGGGGAGAAATTGTAAAACCACCTATAATCATTATACTGCCTCTTCCCTTAAACCCCCTGGCACAGAGTTCCTGACAACTTGTACCTTTTTTGCAACACCTTTAAGCGAGATTTCATCCACTGACAAAGAGGACACCAGCTTCTGGTATTTCTGTTTTGCAAGATATTATACAATTATTACTGACCTAAATTAAGCTTCCTGTGAAGTATATTCATGATTTATGTATAGGATTTTATTTCTGTTGCCCAAGTCCTTCCTATAATTTATAATCGAAAACTTACTGGAAAATTGCGTTAAGAATGCCCAGTAGTCTCTGACATAGAAACTGCAGCAGTACTCCGCTCCTCACAAGGCTCAGGCTGCCATGGGAGCCACTGGGGCCATCCTTAAACATCCATTCAGAAGCAGTGAAAAAGAAGCAACTATAAACATAGAACAGCTCAGAGGAAGACACTAGGTAGCTCAAGTCCCAGGCAGGTCTAACTTGTACATGAGATGATTCTCATCTATCCCACACTGTTTTCCTCCAAAAAGCCCAAACTTTTAAGATTTGTTATTCTGCTAACAAGGAAGCAAACTCCTGTTTTTTAAAAATGCTGCCTGGGTGCTTAATCACCATATATAAATTATACAGGCTTTTGTAACTTCTCTAAAATCAACTTTCACCTATCCTGGATTGTAAGAGACATCTCTTATCCTTTACAATACCTCATAGGCCTCCGACATTTATTAAATGAATGAGATGAAAATGTGCTGACTTCTAGATAATCAGCTTACAAATGACCTTTTGAGAAGTAACCCACACTGGACAGTACATTTCATAACTAATGCGTGATGTGGTTTAAACCGTAAATTGCTTAGGGATTACTTTTGTGCGCCATTATTTTTTTCCAATTACAGCTCAATTGACAACATCTTCCATTTTAATCTGCCAACAGGTAAAATGTTCAGAAAGGTTAACACTATTCTCTGCTGCAGTTTGTTAAAAACATTACACAGAAGCAAGAGGAAGGAAGAATGGAACAGAAATGCATCATTTAATGATCCATAGTTATTTGGAAACTGATCAATGGCTATCCCAGAGATAAGTGAAAAAAATGACCTGTCTCTTTTATGAAAAAAGTTCCAAATGCTTTCGAGGCACTGCACTGGCTAAGTCCAGCCCAAATGCACCTTTCCCTAGCTGGCTTAGCACAATGTAAATACAACCCAGTAGATAATTTTGTTTTAAGCCATTCTGAAAATACAAATGATTAACACTTAAGATTAAGTGTCCTTTTATTTGTAACAAGAACCCAGGATGAAAATGGAAGAAACAATCACATTTACCTATATTCTTAGTTCATTATTATGTATAATGAAGTATGAGATTACAGAAACAATATATATTTTAAATGTTCCTCCTTTGGTCCAAATTGCCCTGAACTAGACCTCTAGAGAGGATACGTGTTGTCATGTGCTTGGACACTATGCCATCTACTTGCAAAAAACCCTTTTGTAAAGCGCTTAGACAACCAAGTATCCTTTCTTCAGTTTTAGAAAGAAGACATCAACAATATTCTGCTCTCTTCCATCAACACATCTAAAGCCACTAGTTCCCTATTTTAACTGGCCAATAGTTTGTAAGTACTGATAAGGATATGTAATACTCTCATGTAATTTCCAAATGAAAGGCTCATTACTTCTAACCTCAAGATTATCATTTCTGTCTCTTCTTGACCTAAGAAGATAAAAAGGCAAAAATAGAATATAAGCCACTAAAAATATAAGGAAAATAAAACAAGGACTAAAATGTGAGTGTGGAATACACAATCTATTGTACTGTACTGCTGTAGACCATTAGTATAAAACATAATCTGACTGATTCCTCTTGAGACTTTTTGGGGAAAAAATGAAAAATCTTGCTAAGATGAAAATCTAAAAAGATTTCATATTAGAAAGGGGATAAAATATACCAGTCAGACTTGAAAACGGACAAGCATAAACTTGATTAAATTTCGATGCAAATTCTAATAGTGCAGTTAAGCATGACTTGCTAGGAGATTAGAAAAGTTCTTGGTGATATACTCTTCTAATTAAAAGCATCCCATGGTGACTGACAAACAATAATGTACAACAAAAATTTCACAGTCAAAAAAAAAAAGCATCCCAGAAAACTGATGTTAAAGCAATTTTACATTCCTTATGTATAATGGCTAGAGGAACTACAAACTAAAGGTGCTTGCACTCAGTTTTGTTTTTAAAACTTAGACTAATCAAGCTCTGTTTACATTTCCCATTTCAATCAAAGCATGTTACTACATAAAAAAATTTGAAAATTATTTTAAAGATTTGGTTAAGAAAAAAAATTCTACCAAACTAAGAATGAGACCATTCTAAAATCACTATTAAAAATACTCGAAACACTATGATTGAACTAAGAGAATGCCAGAGGTTAGGGGGCCAAGATAACCATCCTTGATAGTACTATGATACTATGATCTCCTTGCTATCGTGTAGATTTCCACTTTAAAATTCCGTTTAAAAGACCACTTAAAGAAACTCGGTTCTACTTTAAATAATTACCCATCTAAATCATCATAAGTAGAATCTTAAACCGATTGGGAAGAAAAGGACAAAGGAGACCTCAAGTAAAACGGGATACTCCCGAATGCTTTCTCGGAATATTTGAGAGAAACAAAAGCAAAAAAATCACAACAAAACCCCAAAACAAGAGAGTATTATGCTTTACCACTATATTCCAAACCATCATGTTGCTCAAGTAAAATACTAAAATTTATTTTTATAAGTGGGGTTTCTGATCTGACATTTCATCTTTTAAGTGTCTTGGTTAACACAGCTTAGCAAAGTATAATCCAGTTTATTTCATATAATTTGGAATCTACGGGAAAGAACATTTGCAGATTTCTCTCTAATCATTCTTTCCTTTACTAATGTGTGTTTCAAATAAAATTAATGGGTCAGCTATACATGCAAGTGTCCCATAGGCAAATTAACACAATGTTGTGCCATTTCTCTCTCTGCAAGTTCTCCAGGGTTAAACTACAGTGCATTTAACTCCTCGTGTTTCACTTTCCTTTTCACAGCAAGCCTCCAGTGGTCCTAACGCAATAAAGGCAGATAAGCAGCATGAGTGATCACCAGGGGCAAAGGAGTTTGAAACGGAGCCCAGTGGAGTGGGACGGAAGAATCCAGCACGGCTACCGGGGGCAGATAAGTGTCCTCCGCACCCGAGCCACAGGCACAGGAACGTGGCTGGCTGCTCCCGCACCCCTACTAGGACCTCGCCCACCCCTTCTTTGGGGAGGGACGTACCTGCCCCGAAAGGGGTGAGCGCATCCGACTCAGCTTGGCGGGGAAAACCCCACTTCCCAAACCCCGCTCCCTCGCTCCAACGCCGAGCTCCAAGGGGCCGTTACCTAACTGACCCGCTCCTCGGGCGAGCCCTGGCGCAGGCCGGCCCAGCCTGGCCCAGCCCGACCCGGACCGGGCCAAAAGGCCGCGCTCCCGGGTAAGGCGTGCGCTCGGCCGGAGACGCCGCAGCCGCCCAGCCCCCGCC